TTTGCCCCCCCCCCCCCCCCTGAACAAATTGAATGCGTTTCATAAAAAAGGACAATGCGCGCATGCAGAATACACCGGGGATCAACGTGATAGAATCGCTCGGCCACTGCTGAATTACAATCCGGAAATGAATATTTTACCATTAACTTTGCGCATTCCATTGTAGTAATTGTGAACACTTCCGAGCAGCGGGTGCCAAACCGCAGAACGCTACAATCAATTACGATAGCGCAGCCTCATGCCGCAGTCCATATATTATGCAGCGCATCGAATGTCCCCTCAAACGAAACCTACGTGCCAGAGCAGCCGTGCTTCAACGTGTTGCACGGATCAGTATTAGTGCGAAGGTTCACGAGTTCACGGGTTCACGAGTTGACGAGTGTTGGACGCTGTTGACGTCGTTCATGTTGTTCATGTCGTTCGGCGGCCTACAGATCGTAGGCTGCTGCCGAAAGGTGCGCACGCGTCACCCGAGCCACCCCGATAAATTGCAAGTGTTAAATTTAACGTCGTTCATTTTCCACGGAAACCAAAGCGAATCCACGCGCCGCGTGCGGAGCCAAAACAGCCAAAGTGAGTGACCACCCCTTGTTCCTTTTGTCCCTTCGCACTCTCGAGTCTTTTCATTTTTACGAAAACCAGAATCAGCGGGCGCATTCCTGGCCTCTCGCTGGCTCGGACTGTCGCCGAGTCAGCAAGGACTTTTAGCCCAGCGCTTCCTCTCGGGCAATCTTCCTCGGCCGCACGCCGACCCTCTGCTTGCTTCCCTTCACTTCCCGGGCTCTTTGGCTGGTCTATTCTCTCTATCACGTGACCTCACCAGCAAATCATATCTCCGTGATGCATTGCCCCGTGGAAAGGGCTGCTGAGCCCTTTCCAGCTTTCCACCTTTCCAACCTTTCCGGCCGATCGGCTCTTTCTTCGAAAGCACGAAAGGCATGCCGCGATTCAGAGATCGTAACGGGCCAACGATTTCTTCGAGGGAAACGACCTCGAAGCTCCCCGCGAAGATGGCACGCGAGGGTTCAAGGGTCGAAGGGCGTGAGTGTATCGAGCACCGGGGAATCGTATTTTCGAATGGGCTATTCGCTCCTTTTCTCGCGGAGGGGCATTCGAGGAGGTGCCATAAAAAATTGTATTCTCCGAAATTTATTTCGGGCACTAAAAAGCAAAAGTTAATTCCGTCGAACTAACGAGATGCCTCTCCGTATCTTTTTCCATTCTCCGACTCGCCTACCAGCCTCTACCACGTTCGCGCCTTCTGAATTCTGATTCCTGGTTTCCAACCTTCTGCACTTGGTGCCATCCCGGCCCCACGGCACCACCGCACCACCGCACCCTCCACCCCTCTACGGAGTTTAATCCCAGTGTTTCCGGCATCCCTTTACGCTCGGATGTTGGATATACCCACTGGAAACTAAAACGTAGAATTCCTTGGCTGTAACGAGATAGAATGGACGTCTGAGTGTTGCGGAACAGCGGCATGGCGGAAATACGAAAAGGCAGGAAGGTCCTGGGCCGCTTCGTCTCTAAGGCTACGGAAGGCATGCTGAACGAGACCTTTGTGCAAAAACTTTGGACCCTAAGTATCCTAGGAAATCACAGCCGTGAGGATAATTGAAGATTTCAAGGAGTGCTCCTAGAAAGTCTTCTTCTGAAAGCGGAGCAGCAGTAACTCCGTCCAGGAGAATCCTTTCAAGGATCCCGAAGATGCGCTGATTGTCTACACCGTCTCCTAGATGTGTAGCCGAGATGGCAATGGAAGGAGAAGCAGGATGCGACTTCGAGATGGAATAAAGATTTTCAAGCAAAGCGAATTGGGACGAAGTCGAGCAGATGGGCGCGTTTACATCCGCGGGCGTTAAGAAGACACGACTCGCGGTAAGGGACGAACCGAATTGTTATTTTACCCCCCGCCCCCCCCGCTCTCTCTTGGCTGGTTAATTACCTTTGCGCAACATGGTCCATTCTTTGGGAAGCAGCTCGGCCGCTCGGTGGTTTGAACGTTCCTATATCACTGAGCCGATCCGTACACGTCGAATAAATCCTCCTTTGCCTTTTGTATCGATCTGCCCGTAGATGGGTAATCGCCGCGTTACAATACCTATCGCAGCAGCCTCCCAATGGGTCAGTCGGTCGATCAACCAAGACAACCTGTCGAAATCCGCGTTCTTTCTTTCGGGCTCTGGAACCTCAAGGGACTGGAGAGAGAGAGAGAGAGAGAGCACTCTTGGAGTGCTCCCGAGTGCTCGCTCGCCGTTCTTAGTTCTGCCGAAGCAATCTTCCAGGAGCCGCACGGTCGACCAGGAGCAGCCAAATGCCTTGAGGCACCAACAGCTCACGTTACGAGGCTAGAAAGATAAACAGCGGCAGTGCTTTCCCATTCGATAATTTAAGGCATAACAAAAGCATAGCAAACTCACCGTTATGTTGATACGTGCCAGCGACTTTCCAGCCCTATTCCGCTGCCTCCCTCTCTTCGCAGGTGCTTTACTTTTCCGTTTCTTCTTCTCTCAATTTTTCAAAACTTTCTGCGCAAGGGGCTTTCGTCAGGGCAAAGTATACGGTCACGATTGAATGGAGCTTCGAGTCCATAAAAGGTTCGATCGCTCATTATGATTCTCCAGGCGATTCCTCTTTTCCTGGTCTATCCTAGTGGCTTCCCTTCCTCCTTTTCACTTCTTTATGACAACCTAAGCCTGACATAATAAAGTTTATACGGACATGTAGCATGGCGGAGGGCAAGTATGTGCTTTACTCGTGCTGACTCCTGCTCCGGCTTCTCGCAAAGCTCCGTGAAGCCTCCTGCCGCAGCTGCCTTGCTTTTCCTCTTGAGCATTCGCATCGCGACGCGTTCCGTTGAAAGTGCTGCAGCCTTAGTAATAACCGATATCCCCCTCAAGATTCCGAGGTATAATGGCGGATGGAATTTTTATGGAGCTGCATTTTTCGAGCTCAATGTTTTATCGAGACTCCAGCCTCCTTCGAGTGGTACTCTTGGGCTCTGGCGCTTCCAGGACGTCCCGAGGCTTCGCGCGGGGGAATTCCGTGCTGGCACAAGCCACTATCGCGCTCCATTCTACCAGGCGCCTCTATTCTTCGGGAAACCGTTAAAAGCAATCCATGCTTCATTCCGCTCTGGGCTTTCATTCTTCGATAGGCATTTTCTAGACCATCCTGCCTCCCAGCTCCTGCTGCCTCTCGCAATCAGGGCATCGTCCTAGCATTATATCTACAATTGTACATACATAGACATTCTCATACCGCAAGCAGGTTAGCAGGTAGCAGCTTCCGGGAAGGGAAGCAATGCGGTTTAGCCGAGTAAACGATTGGTGCGGAAAAATGGGGATGAAAGAGCAATATGGAGTGAGAGGGTAGAGGAAGTGGAAAAGGACAGGCAGGAAGGAGCGAGAGAAGGAAGCAAGACGGGATTATGAGTTTATACCGGGTTTCCGTGGCTGCTACAACAGTTTATACGACTATTCGATTTT